ACTTTGCGTGCTTTTCATTAATTATTATTATTATTATTATTATTATTATTATTATTATTATTATTATTATTATTATTATTATTATTATTATTGCTACTGATGTCGCTGTCGTTGTTATTAAAAAACAACTATTCTAATATCTCAGATGTTTACAAAACGGACTTTAATATATGTATATTGGTTTCTACCTAATCACATTTCGCACATCATACAGAAAAATCACAAAGACTTGCGGCTGTTCTCTTTAATTGGTAATATTTGTCTTTTCTGACATTTTAGAATGTACTACATAGATGATCATATTCAAGGATTTGCTTCTTCATTGAATGTCATATTTTACCAGAATGACTGTCCCTACACAATTTATTCAAAAAGCACCTTTAATTTTTTATCATAAATGTTTGACGTCCCCATTATTTTGTCAAGAATAAAGCTATTAAAATCATAAGGATGTTAACTGACTGTGAGAATTGTTAATTTTTCAAATTGCTATTGAACAATGATCACATCTCTGTATGACCAGATATACCTCAGACACACACATCATACATACGTATATATATATATATATATATATATATATATATATATATATATATATATATATATATATATATATATATATATATATATATATATATATATACATGCATACACACAGACAGACAGAGACTTATCAGAGTTTCTAAGCATATTTTTATCTTATTAGAAATCAATTATTCAAAAGCAATAATTATTCGTTTTAGTTGAAAGTACTGTTGGGCACTGTTTTAATATTTACTTTTCTGTTCTTTTACAAGATAAGAGTGAATGGTTCCATCGACTTGCACCAGTCTTCTATTAGCGAGCCTTTTATTGGTGCCAGTAGCGAACTTTGTTACTTAGGTTAAAAAAGTTTCTATATGTTTATAAATACATTTAATTTATTTTGTATATATGTTGATTAGTTCACTTGTAGGCAGAGATTTCATTGGCCTTGGCTTTTTCATGCCTCATTAACCCTGTTGAAACTCTGTGGTAAAAGTAAATTTTCTTTTTGTTTTCCTCCTTAATGAAATTTGTGTATATTTATACCTTGTTGACCATCTGGAGACAATGAGAGGTGTGTCTATACATTGTTGACGCTCAGGAGACAATGAGACGTGTGTTTATTTATACCTTGTTGACGATCAGGAGACAATGAGACGTGGGTATCTTTATTCATTGCTGATACTAAGCATAACCTGAGACTTGTGTATATTTATAGTCGGCTAATGCTCAACAGTTGTTGAAACATTAAGAACATTGTTTAGTAATCATAAATTTTCATATATAAACTAAATTACGTACCTCTAACAAAGACACCAACAAACGTAGATGATAATCATGTAAAATCGAAAGATGAAATAAGTCTAATATCTCTATTGCAAATACCATAAGGTTTGGTTACATAGTGATTCAATAGTGAAAGAAAGTAGCTGGAGATTGTCACGTATTGGACTACTTACATGCCATTGTAAATTCCCGGATATATGTAATACTCTTGTTGTTTACTTATTAAACATCATTAAGATAATACGCCAAAGCGTTTGGATTTAGTCGTCAGTAACCTCTATACATCTTATATATAGCAAAATATACGCATTATGCAACGGCTGATATAATTCCATATTGGCCTTATTTTCTCTAAATGCGTTTTCTCCAAATGAAATTTGATATTATTATGCTAATGCCGTTCTGAAAATACTGAGATGTTATGAGTAGTGGATACGCCACAAAGCGAAGAAAATGTTTTAGTTTTAATTTTTGCTACAAGCTTTAAATATTTATTCACAATTATAACTGAGTACGTCCACCTAGATAGTTTGCAACACTGGAAAATTTATTGATTGATTAGTTGGACGGGTGATTCCATCAAACCGATCACACCGAAAATCAAATTAATTCCTCTTATCTCTATTAAACTTAGTTTCTGACCTGTTTGTTTAATAATGTTTGTTTAACATTTGTGGACACTACTCAAAAGGTTAACTGACGTAGACAAAACAAATCTTGAAGTTAACAAACTATATCACACTTAGAAAATCAATTACCGTGAGGGGTCCCCTAGTGTCCAAGTGGTATAAAGTGCTCTCCGTTATCCGGATCACTGCCATCTCACCTCTGCGATGGTTCGTGTCTAAGATTCGGCAAATGTGAATATGTGAGAAAGCTTGTCAGTAGCTTTTCGTGGGGTCGGTGATTCTTTTCGAAGATTTCCCGGTTTCCTCCTCCACCAGTAATACTGGCCGCCATGTATAGCTTATTGTGTGCTGAAAAATGGCGTTAAGCCCCAGAACAACAACAACAACTACCATGTCTTGTCTTCAAATATGCTCATGAAACGAACACATCTAGACTGAAATTTAAATCATTGGCATATAAATGGGTTCTTGTACAAAACACTTTTATTGATTTATTTCTTTATTTAATTGCCGTGGTTGTTATATCTGTATTTATGCATTTTTATATCTGTATTTGGTCATCTTTTTACAGATGATTCTGTTGTTGATTTTACCGATGACGATAAAGTATTCACCGGTAAAATATTTCCATACACACCCTTGTAGTTCCAAATAGCCGCTTTGGCTTTGATTAGATTAGTAATTGTGCTTGGTATTTTTTAATGCGGGTTTAATTTTTATTAGACTAAGTACACATTGATAAAAATTAATAGGTAAACTTGTCATAATTGTAACTGCACCAAAGATGGAAAAAACGAAATTGATGAATAAGGATTTCTTTATATGAAATAGCTATGTCCATGCATTAAATTGATGATTCAGATCTGTAGACAAAATTATACCTAATAATAATAATAATAATAATAATAATAATAATAATAATAATAATAATAATAATAATAATAATAATAATAATAATAATAATTATAATAATAATATTTAATGAAAAGAATGCAAAGTACAAGTAAGGCTACCCAGTTTGCAATAGACGATTTCCAGTGGGTCAGTGGTTCCTCCAGTATTTTCATTTGCTCTTTTTTAAGTCTAGTCATTTTTGTCAATATTTACATTTACTCTTTCTTAAGACTAGTCATTTATGTCAATATTTTCATTTACTCTTTTTTGAGACTAGTCATTTATGCAAATTTTACATTTACTCTTTCTTAAGACTAGTCTTTTATGTCAATATTTTCATTTACTCTTTTTTAAGACTAGTCATTTATGTCAATATTTTCATTTTCTCTTTCTAAAGAATAGTCATTTATGTCAATATTGACATTATCTCATTAATTTACTACATTTGTCTTGATGCTTAATCATCCATAAATAGTCATGGAAAAATGTGTTCCAATATTTTATCAAAAAACTTACGTAAATTCATTTATTTTCTTTAAAACGTTTGTTCTTTTAGGAAGTCAGGATTTTATCTTTTTCTGCCAATACCCTCACTTCATACATCGCAAAAGAATACCTAAAAATTAGAAGGTTTTTGCTTGTAAGAATGAGTAATTGTTTCAAAGGTTTCTACCAAAGCACAATAATTTTAGTTTGTTTTTTTAAACGTTATGTTAAGGATGTGCGTTTTTTAAAGTGAGTCGTAAGTTATTCGTGTACTTCTGAACATTGTCTTGAATCTTTAAGATCTTTTACAATGTTATTATTGTCAGACAATGTCACTGTCACGTGTATAAAATTACAAAAATAATAAGGTAAAAGGAATAACAATTTAGTAAACTACATCTCGGTATTCAACAACTTAGCACAATTTTTCAATGCAATTACATCGAATCAATACGAAACCTAATTAAATAGCTAGTTATTTCATCACGCGAAATTAAAGGTGAGTGTTCCTTCCCGTTTCCTTTCTATGTTACTCATCTGTAACTTCTGCTCGTATTCCTTATTTGGTAGATCTAGTGCCCTTGTTTCCGTCTTTCGCCCTCCCTGTCAGTACTTCTCGTACCCTTGTATATTTCCCCTACTCGAAGAAATTAATGTTTAGAAACAGGTATTTCAAACAGTATGACAAAACAAACTAGCATACATCAAGAAAAGCAAAACGAATTTAATTTCTTTTTCTTTCTAACATCTCTATATACTAATATTTGTCTTCAGTGACTAATTTTCATCTCTGTAACAGACTGGTTGATCCAGAGTTTATCTGGTATGTTCTCTTTAACAGATAAAAGCAATAAGCTTATAGCACATGTCTGTAAACAAAAATATTTAGACTCATTTTTTAATTCTATGCTAGCTGCAATTTTCCTTTAAAAACCGCCATATGTATGTCTTTAAAACATTATTTCAAGTGTAGAAAATTTTTGCCATTCTCTTCATTAAAAGTTTCTTATATAGGATAGTTTCAAATCACCCTCACGAGAGCTATTTACATTAGTTGCTTTCTTGAGTATTGTTCTGTGATCGAGGCATATATGAAAAATAAGCAAAAATTATTCTATTTCATTAGCCTTTTCATCCGTGGGATTTGGTAGAACCATTATTGGTATTATCAATTTAGATATTGCAATTTGCTTACTACTGTTTTTCTACCTATCAAATATAAAATTTAACATTTCATTTCCCAAAGTGTACACGGAATTTTCTGAGTTTTGGATATCAATTTACTTCATATAGTACATTTAAGTTGTGTGGAATGTTATTGTTAACGTCTCATCGTTCTGCAAAGTCCAGATACACGGTTTACAAGAACAATAGTTTAACCTCTGTTTTGATCGCATTAGATAGGTGTTCAGTCGATAACATAAATAAGAGGATACATTTTTATCATTGCTTGCCGCACGTTTTAAGAGATAAATTTCTATTAAGTAACCGTGTGTGTGTGTATGTGTGTGTGTGTTGCTTGTCATATCGTTACAATGTCTGCTGTGTGGCAGTCTATAGTTATATCTAGCAAATGGTTTCATGCTGCAGACACGTATCATCATGTCCCACCCATTCACAGTATCCTGACATCAGGCTAAAGAGGCAGTTGTTAATACCAATTTTTGCATAGGTCTTTGGTATAACTCGGCCGGGGTTTGAACCCGCAACCTCCCGCATCCGAAGCAGACTATCTACTTTAGCCACTGGTTAGCCATTATGCATTACGCACCGTTGTATTACAGTAAACATATGAATCTAATTGGGTAAATTAGAAGTGTAAACATTTTTTACAATGATATTGACTGTCAAAGTCATTTAAAAATCAGCAAAGGAGAGATGGTGAATCTGTCTTTTATGCAATAAGTGACATTATGCCTAAATTCTGTAAACTGTGCAGTCTTTATGTTTTGGAAACTGAAGTTACACAACAAAAGCTGGTTGTAGGATTTCTAGCTTGCATTTAGTAAATAGAAGAGTGCAAAGATTTTGTAAAAGGATTTCCAGCTAACATTTAATAAATAGAAGAGTGAAAGGATTTTGTAAAATCAGCTTACAAGTCCCACATTAACTTGCAAATATGGAATTGTTTATCTAAATAATAAATAAAATTCTGTATGATATTTGACATGTTGCAGGATCACATTAAAACATTAACATGGTAGTGGTTGTGTTAGAGCACCCATGCTTACAAACCCCGAGGATTACCAGTACACCCAGATGACATAGATAGCGACGATTGTGGCGACAGATGAGATTTCCTAAGACAAATCAATTAGAAACATGCCTTGGTAAAACATAAATCAATTAGAAACTTGCCATGGTCAAACGTCAGTCGGTTAGAAACATGCCTTGGTAATATACATTTCTCACTATCTTCCGCACTCACCAACCTTCAGAGGCTATACAAATTGATGTGCAAAGCCTCAGAATTGTAGCAGTGTAGACAATAGGCAAAATGCTCTGAAAACATTTCTAGGCCAAGCAAATCAAAATCTATAGCTAAGAAATACAGGCATCCAATCACATTTGATGGCATAGGATACAAATGTAAAACAATTATTGTCGTGCTTGAATTGAAGTAATACTTCTGGTTTTCTTGGGCTCATTTTGGGCTTCATTGAAATTTAATCCAAGGTTGCGACTGAAATTTTCCAATGATTTTGGTAAGAACATGCTTGACTCCCTGCAATCACTCTACTTATAATCTGCGTTATGATCTCATTATAAAGGTACCACCTTATGGACCTGAGGAGATAAAATAATGGCGGCTGTAAAATAAAGGGAGAAGCATTTATAAAAAGCCGTCTTAGTATAGAAAGTTTGATGGCACTGGACGTAACAAAATCAAGGGTATATGCCTTAAATAACGTGAACATTGCGAAGAACAGGCCATTACGAATATGCAGGATGAAAGCGGTTGCTTTATCTTATCCTGGTAAAGTACAAATAATAGTGCAAAAGTTAATTGCCAAATAAGCAGTCGGATAAAGCTTCCTAATCTGTGCCAGATCGTGGAAGAAGGATACGGAGTACGTCAGCAAAAGATGTCACATTTATACTATTATGATTTTATGGCGATCAGTGAGAAATCTTCTTGCAATAGCAGCATAGTTAGGTCTTAGAATTTCTTCAACTGTGGTTGCTGATGACCAATACAGTCGTCTATTGCAACTGAGGATGTCACGTAATTTGGTCAACGAGTTCAAATCCCCGGAAGTTGAGGACATCGAAGACTACTGGGCAGGCAGACCACATGCATACAACCAAGCAACGGCGCTGTGAAGCATATATGGACTATGTATAACGAAATCATACACTGGTTCAACTCAAACATTGGTTTTGGTGTTAACTTTACCATTCCGAATACATTCCCAACGAACTGTTCTGACATCTAGGTCAAAATATAAAACCGGTTGTTTCGCAAAAGTACCCTTCTGATCTTGAAACTCAAAGACAAGGAGGCCATAAATGACAAAATCGACATAGGTTTTATAACAATCCTTAGCATGTTGTATAGAGTAGCTCAGACTCGATTCTTTCGTGATGTAAGAAAATTCATTTGTACATTTCCCGTTAAATCAAATGGCGAGTCGATTTCAGTCTAATAATATCATTAAACCGCCGACTCTCTTGAAAACTTGCAACAGCGGATGGAGAATTATAGAAGAACACTATGTAGAATCAGACGCGACGTTACGTAAATCAAAGAGGAAGTCGAAGGTCGAAAAAGGAACCAGCGTATTTGACGAATACTTTAAACTGGAAATTACGAAACGTTTATGGCCACCCACGAATAGAAGTCAAAGATGCAAACAGATGTATAATTCTTTACTTGTAGAGGCTCGACAGTGGACCTTGAACATCCTATGTATGTCGCCATTAAATGACCTCCCAAATGGAAAGAACTCAAGCTCCAAATTCCATCTAAGTAATGTAAAGCGGCTATGGATTGTGAAGGTCCCAACCCCGTATTCATGATTTTACTAGAAAGCACAGTGCCACCAGTGAGGAGTGGAATATTCTTTTTAAGCACTATAATAAATTGCTATCCGAAAACATGAAAGTTACTCACTTGTGGACGGATGCAGACTTGTGGACGAAATATATTAATTTAATAATAAAACCAGGAAATGGCGTAACTAGCCTACATGAATGCAAGCGCGAACCCAAGTCTGAACTTGCATATGAACGCAAACAGTAATCCGCTAGTAAAAAGAGAATCCGCAAACGTAAACAACACAATGGAGAACCACCCATTCAAGAAGTATCTTCCACGTTGAGATGCTAATAATGTCTCTCTGGCCAAGTATAGCCTCGACATAAACCAGAATATGAAAGTAGTCTATCCAAATTCCGAAAATCTTCCTAACACAGAATCAGATTATCTACAGTAAAAATTTAGTTGCCAGGTGGCGAATGGAATCTGATAGAATTTCTCTTTCGGATAGAGCAAGACCAGTCAATTGCAAGAGTGCAGTGCGATCTGCAAGAGGCTTACGAATTTGAGGTTCGACTGGAAACTCTCTTGGGGTCAGTTAGCACCGATTGCAACGCGCCTGGGGTCACCACATCGATTTGTTAGCTGTTGCTCACCGACCACAGCATGTACACGGAAACATTTCGGGCGTTAATGCGTGAACTCACTAAGACAACTATGATGTCTATAACGCCGAAAATGAGTTTAGAGGAAGCACTTAGTATAACGATATCAGAGCTACAATGCAGCGTGTCATTGGATATGGCGGGGGTTGCTCTATGGTGACTATCATAGGCACACCTGCTGGAGATGCTGTTCGTGCTATAGCGATAGTAACCAGTGTCGCGGGAAGCGCTTAGTAAAGTTTTTTTTTTTTTATTATACGATAATATCAATATCGTAGCGGAGGCACAACTCAGTCTAAGAGCAATTTCTGAGCTGTACTATGTGTACAAAGAAGATAAAAACATTACTACTCTCGCATTAGAGACCTGGTGAATTGGAAAACGACGGACAACTAATTTATGTTCATTCAGTAACAATCATGTAAGCTGTGGGGCTTTCACACAGCAGTATCAAGTGCGCTTTTGGTGTGGGAAATCAAACTGGGCAATGCACTGTCTTGTGAAGAAATCACATACAAACGAAGTGAGAATGGATTGGGTAGAAGACGCCGAACTAAATGTAATAAATATATCAACCTCCCACCTATCAAATACTAATAATTCTTGTATGCCTTTACAACAAATTTATTAGAAATACAAATCTAATAAAATGGTGGGTGTAAATCCTTCAATTAAAGCATAACATCCAATGAACGTCAGAGAGCATATACAGGCCAAATTTTGCATACAGTTTTTACTGTGCTGTAAGGCTGATACAACAAACAATTATACTGCACTTAGCACCTTGCTAAAAGATTCAAATTTAATGAGATGGACAACCTGTGATAATAAATAAGAGGAGGAAATTTCAGATACGATTACACCGGCATTTGGCTAGAATTGTGTTCACGAGTTTGGTTCAAACAAGAATAAGAGTTATAAAAGATCAAGCGTATCATTATTGGTCGATTTAGTTAAGCCTAATATGTTATTGTTTCTAAGCGAAATTTTATATTGCCTAATGATATTTGTATAACCAAGACAACAACGGAGAGAATGTAGAAATTACCACTACTGAATTTATAGAAGTATCTGGAAAAATGAAGAGTACTTGAGTCACCACACACAGAAGCAGCGTTTTGACAAAATCCGATCAAACTAAATATCTTTTACAATGCATCTTAAATGCAAAATGATTCTCTGATCGGTCTATCAAGACAATAATTGTCTCAATATTTGTTTGTGATTTGATTAACTTTGCAAACTTTCAACTATAAGAATGGTTTCGGATAATTAGTGTACATCTCAACTAGGTAAACCTTTTATTATTCTCTGGAAATCTAAACAATAAAAAAACAATTATAAATATTACAAACCAACTATAATCCTTATCATTTTTGATACTTTTTATGATAAAGACCAAAACAATGAGCAAGAACTTCACTTTAATTCCTTCTGATCTGCTGTCTATTGTCTAAATATCCATCAAAAGGTACCTACAACTTGTGGGATTCCATTCCTTTTTTTGCAGTCTATATAAATGCAAACAAACTAAATCAATTTGCTGCTAAAACTCTGAATAAATATGTACAGGTGAATGCCAAAACAGGTAATTCTCTCTCTCTCTAATGCGTGAAACAACGAACGTGGCGGCATGTGACGATGTATCTGTACCAACGAATAATGGTAAAATTTACTGTCGTATCAGCTAACAGAATAAAATGAAAGAGAAACAATAAGAAACAATTGAATGGTCCGCATATACATAAACACATTTTGACGAGATTAGCTTCTTGTGTCTCGGTTCTGATCAGACGTTAAGAATCATGATCTTTATTTAATTATCAAAATAATGTTGAAAAATAAATAGTTAACTAAATTTTGATTTGTAACGCAACAGCTTTGCTGCATATTTCTTAATAGTGAACATTCTTTGGTTTTTTTTTTCATTTATTGTGCTTATTCTTTCTTTACCTGTCCTTATGTTTGTCTGTCAACCGTTAAACTCGAAATATTCCTCGTTTAGTTCGCTATCTTGCTTTAAAGAGATATCTCCCAGCTTGATGTTGCTATATTCTTCACCCTTTCCCCGAACCTGAAAATGCAAAATTGTGTTAAACTATAATGTATTTAATAAAG